GCCTTTGTGGTGCGCAAGCGCTTATAAATTTTGGTCCAACTGGCCTGAAACTTAACATATTGATTCAATAAGTTTAATATCAATATATATATTGAAAAATAGCTATTATGTCAAAATAAGAAAACGTAAGATTCTCATACGAATAGGCAATGCATTATGAGCGACTGTTCATCTGCAGTTGCAAGGGACGGTAATAGCAAGGTCAACTGCTCAAGGTCAGAGTCAAGGTTTTATCACTGATTGACTATTCGAAGTAAACAATGTTATTAATACAGTAATACTCCTACAAATGTAAACAAATTTAGCTTTATTGTAGCTTATTGAAAGTATAAAAACCCGTGGAAACAGTTAACTACCATAATAGATTGAAAATAATTATTAAACTATGATCTCGACCATGATTGAAATTATCGAAGTAGAATGCTATTTCGTTGTATTAAATTTCAATAGACAATAGCATGAGAATTTTGTTTGACTTTTAAATATATTTCATGTTATTTACAGAATGTGATGTAGTTTTGACGTTTTGCACACAATTTAATCAGTTCTAGCACAATGGCTTCGTTTCAATTTGAGCATATTTTGATAGCGTAGCGGTTTATATATCGTGTGAAAGGTTACGGCGTAGCCTTTCACACGATATATAATATTAAAACGCCTGATAATTGATAAATATCAGTGCGATCACAATGGCACCAAAATAACAAAATAACAGAATATAAGGTAAATTAAAAACAGCAAAGCTTTACCTAGCTCGATCTATTTTTCTAAGGCGTTAAATTACGTAAATGTTCGACCAAAAATCAATATTTTCTTTGTATTTTACGAATCTGTCATGTGATTTACCACCGCCGGTACAACGCACAACGTACGCGACACGAAATTTAGAGCTATATGAAAGTTGAATGCCCATATATGGGCATGCAACAAAAATTGAGCAAAGCTTAACACACAACGGTCACATTATAAACGTTTGTAACAAGGGACTCATATAGTCATTGTTCCATTATATTGAAAAGCGCCATTCCTTCAGCCGGATAGACGCACAAGGATCAAGTTAATGTATAGCTACTTTACATTGTTCGAAACTATTAATTGAGTAATATAATGAATTATGACACCGCTTGACCTCTCAAAGGTCATAAATAGCTATTTGACTACAGTTTGACTAAAACTATATTTGACTAAAACTATCATCAGAAATAAGGAGATTTTGTTTCACTGAATCAAATGGTAGTAATTTTGTCTTCATAGCATGCACCGAACTGGAGATATGAACCTTGCAAAATCATAGAACGTCTACGTTAGTAGGAAGCTTATTATAGATGCGCCAAATCTGAGACATGGCGCGACTAAAAAACAACCGCTAATATAAATGGGAGACTAGTTTTACTTTGTGTTTCTCGTGTCCCTGACTTTGTTTACCAACAACAGTTTTTATCCGTGAAGTGAAACTGTGATAATAGCGGCAGTTTTTCGTCACGTCCGCATCGCAGATTTGGTAATATTAATGATATCACTAGAGACCTGACGAGATGCTACAGATTAGCATCTTCCAATACAACATATTAACCAAGTATAAAATTCGCTCCGGATTCATCGGACTGATTCGAATTCTGTTGATTCTCTTGTCGACATGATACTTTATAGAGCTTAGAATATAAACACTTCAGCGATCAAAACCTTCGAGCTGATTAAAACAGATGACTCACCATCAAGACTCGACTCACTTGCGTGACGTTAGAATAAATGCTAGTGCCAGACCTCTGTCGCCCACGGCCATTAGCCAAAAATATTTGGATTCAAACGGCTCTAAAAATTTTTTTCGTGTTGATGAAATCGAAAAATTCTTTCGCTAGAACACTATACTAAATGAGTACTTTCAATAGACTGAAAAAAAATTTTGTGTCAGGGGCACTCTAAAAGTTTTCCGTTACTATCTTGCGTCAGATACAACCTTGCGAGATTACTGACGCGTGCGTTCAAATCGGTCTGCGCGTGCACGTTCACTAGCTATTAGACTATAGTACGCGCCTGGCATATCGCGGCAAATGTTAGTGCTGTTGTTTTCGCTCTTGTGCACGCGCAGACCGATTTGAACGCACGCGTCAGTAATCTCGCAAGGTTGCATCTGACGCAAGATAGTAACGGAAAACTTTTAATAGATTCATAGTCTTTGATAATGGTTTCCGTTTAGGAAACCGAAACGTTAGACAAATTAAAGTATTTTACCTTTTTGTTAATCTGGAAGAACAAATAAAACATAATGTTTCAACCTGGATTCAAACCCTTCAATGAACTTTTATTCTCTTTTCATATGTCCAAAGACTCCATTTTGCTGAGCCAGGCTCGTCGTTTATCGATGCCCCAATAGTGGATTTGTCGTCTTGGTTGACATTGGCAAAAGGGGGAAAATATGTTTCATTGTTGTTGAGCTTGCCAGACATTTTGGAAGCCCATTTCATATCCGCAGGGAACAATTCAA